TCCGTGAATTTCTTGGATACAAAAGTAATAAAAGATGTACAAGGTAACATCAGCACAGACATTTTTCAGAAACCAACGGATACCCACTCATACCTACATTGGACTTCGGCGCACCCACCGCATCTAAAGCAAAGTATACCATACAGCCAAACCTTAAGACTTAGGAGGATATGCTCATCAACGCGCGTACTAGATCAAAGAATATTGGAATACTCCAATTTTTTCGTAGCGTGTGGGTATAAAACTTGTTATAATTGGTTTTTATTACTCAGCTTATTGATGTGTATGAAAAAAATGTAACGTATTAATGGATAGCCACAGGGCTGTCCTCAAGTAGCAGGTGGTGTTCCCTAGCAACTTACAGCAAACGGAAAATGGAAAGGCCATGTTTTTTCCCTCTTCCCATTGTCCACTGACCATTTACTATTTTTAATTATAGCTTTTTTATTGGAATACCCAGTAAGAGCCTCTGCATGCAGAGGAGATCCCTGGAGCATAACGGACATCTTTGTCTTTGTGTACAATTTCTATGTCAGACAGCATTGAGTTCATAGGATCAGAACTAATTTTGGGCCCTTTTCTAATTTTGTCTCGGAGCAAAGTCTTGGATAGGCGTGGCCTAAAAGTAAAATCAATAAACTGTTCTATAAAAATAACTCCAAAACATGAATTACATATCATAAAATAAATGCTTTACCCTTCTGCCAAGATGACACATCTTTTGCCTGTCTCAGGAGGAGATTGAAAAGATTTCTTCTTCAACAAAGAATCACTTCGGGCACTGCTCATGTTGTAGCTAAATTCTTTGGGATCTCTACGAAACCAGGGGGGGATTAATCCCCAGCGCATAGGCTGTAGGACTCTTTTAGGCACAGCCTCTGAGGCCACATCATAGAAATGTTGGCTGGATAAGAGTACTGGACTAAAAAGAACATGCATATACGAATAATGATTAAGAAAAGAAATTTAAAAATGTAATTGTATTTTTACTTTTTAAAATTTTTTTCCATTACTTTTGATAATTTCTAATGGCACTTTTTGGCTTCAGTTTTGGAACAGTTTTATTATCATCCCCAGCAAGCAGAGGCCTAGGGGAGTTTGCCTACCAAAGTATGTGCTGTCCAACAGGGTATAAAAATTATTTTTTACCTCTTGACTCCAAACACATAAGGCCTGTTTCAAACGTCGTGCTACTGCCGTGCCGAACTCAATTAATCAAATTAAATTGACTTTAGCACGGCAGTAGCGCGACGTTTGAAAACAAGTCATGCTACTGCCGTGTAGCACGGCAAGCCTTGGCAACAGCCGTTCCATTCGACTGTCATTGTGTGAATTAAATTCGATGTCTGAGACCAAGTCGTGCTAGTGTCGTGCTGCAGTCGAGTTACAGTCGAGCCAGCTTAGCACGGCAGTAGCACGACGTTTGAAACAGGCCTAATACAATTTCCAGCATGAAAAGAAAGTCAGTTTTACAGCCTGCCATTGGGACAAGCCGTAGCTAGCATCTACTAGCCCACAAGTCATTCCAACTAGCCCCAAAACCCTTTTTGATTAGGAGGATTGATTACAATCCTTCTGTAATTTGAATTTCCCCAAAACACAGAACTTGCCTGTTGGGCAAGTTAAGAACAAAAATCACTAGCCCGATAGAAAAATCCACTAGTCCCGGGCTATCGGACATGACTTTCTTTGCACGCTGAATTCACTATTCAGTGCCTTCAACAGAGTGTCTTTCTTCACGGGAAGCCTTGAACAAGGTGTGAACATTGATCGTGTGCCGTCCATATGTGAGGTACCGACATTTGTTTTTTCAAACATGCAAAATGAGATCAGTCTTAAAGAGGGTGACAAAATGGCAAGATGTCTTTAAACGGTCAGAGATTAAGGGCGTCAGGGACACACGTACATACCATCCCCGGAAGCTAGTTATAAAAGTTCAGTTTCTGCTTTCAATAACTAATCTTTCATGGGACTGGACGGCCTCGTCGATCAAATAATTAACAGATAAAATAAACATGAAGGTAAGCAGAAAATTGTATGCACATTTATATCGTTTGACCTGAGACTTGAAATGAGAAATCACGTATTGTTTGACAGACGAGAGAAGGGTACAACGAAGCAGTCACGTATGAGTTCAGGAAAAACTTGAGAGAGACAGATATCGCGGGGGATGTATTACGCTTAAACATTTATTGAGAGCAAGGAAATTGAGGGAACTTCCATGTTCCATTTTTTTTCGCCATGTCACACCACAAATTTCCTCTTGACTGCAAACATTCCTGACATTTCTGAACCATCAAACAACGCACACAATCCACAAATGAAACGCAAAATACACACTGACGACTGTACATACAAACTCACGTAAAAGATTGCGGAATAATGTTATGTGAAGGATAATATTTTGCTCCACTTCCACCATCCCTCCATTGTGGTTCTTGTGTCTTTCCGTCCTTTCCTTTGTATCTGCATGCCTTGGGGATTTCATCGGGCGCTAGCGTACTGAATAACAACAAAGACAAATAATTGTTGATGAAACAAAAACCCTTTTTAAAGTTTACATGTTGGGATTTCCAGTTGCTATTTTCGGTGATGTGTCATACCAAGCCGTTCGCCCACACATTTTCAAGTTTAAATCACTCTAAGAAAAGGTAATAACTCCCTGTATAGCCTTGGAGATATGTTTTAGAGTACCAAATATATAAGTAGGAGCGCTGGGCGGAGCGCTGATGAAAATGAATTTGCAGAGCAAGCTATTTTCCAGACGATCGAACTCAATTTTGGCGCCTTTTGGACAGCGGTCAATGTGCTCATTGTTGGCTCTTGTCCCCGTTTAAATTAAATATCCCTGACAAATCCTATTTTGTTCAATAAGATGTGTAGGAAACAGCTCTAGTTAATTCATTTGTGCCGACATTTTGGGCAGGATACAATAAAAGTAATGAAACATCACATACACCTAATTGCAGTAACGTTGTCCTAAAAGTGAAAAAAGGAAAAAGCCAAATAGGAATTAATGAGGCTAATCAAACCACATTTTCAGGGCGGATTTATTTGCAGGCGTTGCATTTCCCCGCTGGAATTTTTTTTATTGTTTTCCAGCTTTAAAACAATAGAAAATTCCAACAGACAAATTCGACGTCTATGTGCGGATGCTGCAAACGAATTCATAAGGCTCATTAGCCTGATTAATTCCTATTTGGCTTTTTCCTTTTTTCATTTTTTCTATGACAACGTTTTTGCAATTAGGTGTAAATACCGCGAAATTCGCCAAATATTTCTGTAATGCAACTCCAGTCACGTGCTCAAAGTTCGCCTTCCCAGCGGCCCAATCGCCCGTCGTGAACAAGCTTCTTCGGTTGTCATCGGCTATCTTTCGTGGGACTTGGAAAGGTTCTTTCCTATGTTTGCTCGTTTTTCTGTATTCCTTAGCTTATTAGGACCGTAAAAAGTATTCCCTACAATAAGTAGTGTCGGATGTTAACCTAACGAGTTTTTCTGGACCATAATTTGCTCCTCAAGCCGTTGTATCTTTGTTTACTTTGGCTGTTTCCGACTAGGCTATGGCCGGTCATGGTTGAGTTCAAAAACTTTGCTGAGAACTGTTACGGATTAACCGGCACTTGTTCTACTCCATCGGCGTAGAATGCAACAGGGAGGACTCACAATGGTAAGATCGTAGTACATGTCGACAAAACTAAGCAATGCTCATCCTATATCTTTAATGTTCAGTGTTAGCTAAGTGATGCTAAATTTATACTTTGCAGTACGATGGAAGTAGAGCAAGACGATCAAGTCGGAACGATGACCTCCACTCTAAAATGCAACGAGCTGGCTCTGAAACTCTTTTAAAGACAGACCTCGAACAGTCCAAGGAGGCAATAAAAATTGAAATTCGCAAACAGCTTAAAGTAAAAGAGGGCGCGGAAAACCTGAAGAAAGTAGCAACTGACAAGAAAACTCTGGCACAGTGTAACACGATTTTAAAAGAGGCAACTGCAAAACTTCAAGATCTGTATGATGAACTTCAAGACCTTAGGGACCGATCGTTTATTACGTCCCAGGAGGGGGGTACAATTTTTGAAAAGGGTTGATTTTGGGGCGTCAGTTTTGAAAATGTACAAAGTGTGAGTGAGGAGGGTCGAAATTTTAAGACACAGGATTGACATTATATGTTGTAGTTGTTAAACATATCAGAACTGAAACAAAAAAAACACTTTTCCTTCATTACTAAACCAAAAAGTCGCGCTGACGACTCTTTGTAGACAGGCAAACCGTGATGAGGATCAAGCAATTTATCTCTGAAAGCTTGTTTATTTGGACAGGAAATTCACTGAATGAAGAATATAGATTGTAGGCTTCTTCCAGATGTAAGTATCCATATCCATGCATCAAATGTTCTTGCACTGCTCTCAGACCTCGAACTGTACAATTCGTCTGCATCCCCTGCTTTGACCTCTGCAGAATAGACTCCAGCAATAACAAAATTTCATTATTATCAAGACACTGGAGTGAAGATCTAAAATCGTTTCCCTTCGGACTACCTCAAAACGTACTCCTCAATTTTCGGTTGGAATTTCCGAAAAGTGACCTTACCATTTACCTTCCATCCGGAATTTCCGAAATTTTCTGTCAAATGGTAAGCACCCTTGGTCTAGGAAAGGTGGAGGTGGGGGGGGGGAGGTGCATTTTAAAAATTCTTGTCGCCAAGGGGGGGGGGTACAATTTTATATGAAATTATTTCAGGGGGATACAGTTTTCATACACCACACTTCTCTGAAAACCCCCGCCCCCCCACCCCGGGACGTAATAAACGATAGGTCCCTTAATGCTCAAGTGTCAGAGGATATGCCTTGTAAGTCTATATTGTTTGTCATTTGTGATAACTGAAGATAAAAGTGCAAGTCGATTATATAGTTTATTCCCAGGTAATGAGCGGCCTGTCGATTTTCGAGTCGAAAATATTCACTTTTTTAGTGTACCGTTGACACTGTATATGTGATTAGATTCATCGGTACTAATTACATCTTTCAAAGTACATTTTAGTAAATGTTTAAGGTCACTGGCTTAAAACTGGATTGTCAAACGTTTTTATCGTCATCACTAATAGTCGATAATTTTGTGGTGCGGCAACTCTAGGCTATTAATTGCGATCGAACAAGCTGTGAAATTAAAACTCTTTCTAATTATATGGACTTGGCTACCATAATCACTTATGGCTATGACTTTGCCTGCACTTGGCATTTACTCCTCTTTTGTAAAAGTGTACTCATTCAGTCACGAACGATCCGTTGTTCACCAAAGTATACAACTTGTTTTTTTACTATCCCAAGAATGATCTTTGTTAATACTAGCTTGAGTACTTAAAATTGAAGCTTGTCATTTTCTAAAACATGATGTCCACTGAGTATTAGTTGACTTTTTTTAAAATTTTACTAGTTGTGAGTTTCGGAGCGTTAAAAAAAACACAAAACTATATACACGAGTTAATTGCCTGGTAGCGAATCGAATATGCTAGATGGTGCGTATCGCCGCACATTCTTAAGTATTGAAATCGTCACCCTCCGGGACTGCTAATTTGTCATGTTTATATCGCCTTATATTTTAAACTATTAGCAAAAGTTGCTGCTGGGTTATAAGGATTTCTTTTGTCTGTCGAGGAATCGCTAAGTCCCGACGCTGCTTCCTCCATGCTTGAGGTCAACTAATATTTAAATCCCTTTGCCTGTGTTTGTGACAACAACGGCGGACTGTTTACATTTTGATGTAAGGAAAAGCCTTTGTTTGCACTTCGCTGCCTGTGGCGAGTGTGTCTCTGCGTTCTTTTACCCTACTGTGATCGATCCAGGAATTATATTGATATATTCTTTTTGCTAGAATATGTGTACAAGTTATACTGAACAAATGTTCAATCAATCTTTCCTTGTTACTCTAAGCCATATGTTTCCGCAAGACCTATTTTAGTAAAAGGAGCTGATGTACACTGTACGTTAAACAAAATTTTAATGAAGAATTTTGGTTTGATTGATCAAGAGTTTAGACATAACCTGTATTGTTCGTCTTGAACTTGTTAAACTAATTTGGATTAAAATTGTTTGCACCTGGTCTTCTAACTCCATTACATTTACAGGTGTAACTGACAACTAGATGCCTGTTAGTGCAGTCCAATATAACGTCAATATTCAAGTCATTTTTTTCTGAATGCATTTCTCTGCATCACTTCTAACAGAAGCAGTCACTACTGGACCTGTACTGTAGTTTTAAATGAAATAAAACCTGGAGGAAAACCAGTGAAATAAGTATCAGTTACAGTGTATAAAGTTTAAAACGATAATAAGTTACAAAAACAAAACTGACTATAAATATATTACTTGATTAACATACAATAAAGATGAGATGATATTTTACCAACTGATCAGCACTTTATTGGATGATAAAATTTAATTGGTGTTAATCATGGGACATTTGCTCAGTAAATTTTCTCAGCTACAATTGTGTAGAAGTAGTGATGAAATAAATACTATAAAGGTCAAGAAAAAATATTTTGGAAAACTGAAAACTTCCCAAACTAATGTCTGTTCAATATTGCACCAAGAGATCAGTAAGTTTGTTTCATATTTTTCACTGGGTATAAACCCCTGTGAAGGCCAAAAGTGGCAAGCATGCCCTTCCAGCAGACTTTCCTTTTAGAGAAGATAAACAGCTTATTGTTTTCTATTTTGGTGGTGCTCAAAATATCAGCTATTCTGTCTCAAATTATTCAAGTATTGAAATTTGCAAATCAGTTTTCCAGACATGGAAAAAGTGTGCAAATTAAAGCTAACTCTCCTATGACCGTGTTGTACTGTGGTAACTGTAAGTTTGCAGTATATTAGGGGAAAAGCTTTTGCTTTTGCTGCTGCATTTGTCAAGGTTTCTGTCTATTCCTTATTTGATAGTCTTGAGTCTGGAGAAAGTCTTAAATTGTACATGTACATCCCAAAATCTGTACAAACCCAGCTTTTTGCGCTCTTTGTGGTGGTAAATTGATTGATGAAACTAAAACTTCTTGTTATCGTACAATACATATGATATTTCCCCTGCATCCTTAGCATCGAGTTTGGCTTACTATAGTCTGTTTTTCTTTTTTCTTTCTTTCTTTATTTATGAATTCCCCTCAATTCCAAGCCACACTAAGCTATAGTTTATGTAGGAAATTTGACCTCTAAGATATATGCCTTGTTCTACAGTAACCCTCTCTGTTTTGTTCATTTGCAACCAAGTTAGTGGGATTTGACTGCTCTGTAACTTAGTTTTGGTCTTTCTGCTGCAGTGGAAATCTCTCTTTCTCAGTTTTTATTATTTGCCTGTATCTTTGTGACTGATACTTCCCCTTGCTTTGAAGCTGAAAACACTGATGGACTCTCTCCTGACAGAACAGATGGAGTGTCAAATGACTCATCCGGAAATAGTAAAATTGAATCGTTACAGAAGCAAATTGCTGTAGAGATGAAAGTCAAG